TTGCCTTCAGAACTGCCAGCATTGGTCCCACTGTGATTATACACTGTGATAATACAGAGGACTGGAGATCAATTCATCTAACAGGTTATAACTAGTTACCTAACACCAACATTGCCTTCAGAACTGCCAGCATTGGTCCCATTGTGATTATACACTGTGATAATACAGAGGACTGGAGATCAATTCACCTAACAGGTTATACTAGTTACCTAACACCAACATTGCCTTCAGAACTGCCAGCATTGGTCCCACTGTGATTCCGTTATGAGCAGCTGAGAGCAGGTGCCTGTCACATGATGCCTTGATATAGGAGGAACTCTTGGAGCTTGGGAATGGAGTATTGTTGTCCGAGTCAGACTTGAAGAGTCTCAACAATAGGTGGCAGGTCAGTCTGGCGCCGGGCTCAGCATCCTGGTCTCCTCCAGCTGAAATGTGGAATTAAAACTTTTTGTTTTGAATTTCTGGAATTTTGATGGGGTAATTATCACAAATTCGATAAACTGATATAAAATAAGCCAAAGAATTTTAGTCAAAAAAATAAATAAGTAAATAAATAAATAAATAAAAAACCATTTTTGTTTTTATCAGCAGAGTTGCAAACTTTGCTTTCATGCATATTCCGCTATTACTTAGGGCAGACTCCCATCACTGCCAGGTTTTATAGTTTGATTGTTACTAAACTGTTAGACATTACATCTCTGCATTCATGCAGGCATATTGTTGTCCAGTTTTCTCACATCACATTTTCACAGAATTTGGTTTAAATATCTACATATTTGGTTTAAATTTCTAAACCTTTCGAATTCTATTAATGATTATCAACTATTTGTCTCAAAATTGTTGTGGTTCCACAATCCAAAATATCAGAGTGGTCCCTGCAAATCCTTAACAATTATTTACTAAGACTGACAATATATTTGCCATACTTAAAAAGAGACAAATTAGTTAAAGTGTTGATTACCTTGTTTCTTACCCGAGGGGCAAGCTGTCAAATATTTCTTACCTGAGGGGCAAGCTGTCAAATATTTCTTACCTGAGGGGCAAGATGTCAAATATTTCTTACCTGAGGGGCAAGCTGTCAAATATTTCTTACCTGAGGGGCAAGCTGTCAAATATTTCTTACCTGAGGGGCAAGCTGCCAGCAGAGACGGCAAGGCCACATGTTTCACAAAATCCTCCATAGAAAAACAATGCCTGGCTATCAGCACTGACGTGAACACTGCTAACAAATCATGCAAGGACAGATCACTAACGTCAAGGAGAGCCAAGACATCTATGTAACCACAACAGTGATTGGATGAGCAGCAGAGAGCACGCAGAATCCCCAGCCATTCAGAGCTGAGAGAGTTACAGCATGCCGTCAACTCTGCGCAAAGAATGGACACTTCATTCAACCTTTCAGAAAAGGAGAAATTAGTTGCAAATTAGTTTCAAATATAGATTTACCAAACTATAACATATAAAATACTAAAAAAATTACTTACGGTATGATAACTTGCTACAATAACTATAACAATGAGTATAATCTAAAATTAAGATTCATGTTTTATAATTTATTTCCTTTAAAACGGCAGTAGAATAGTGTAAGGGCCTGTTTAAAACCAAGATGATCCAGGGACTAAATGATCCTCAGATCCAATATGGCTGATCCACTGGATATACGCAGCAAGCTTTCTGGTGGGTTCTGGTATGACTTACAGATCAGATACTCAGCAGATTATCTTAGTTCTAAACCAGCCTTGAGAGGACCCCAGGCTAGTCAACAGATTATCTTGGTTCTAAACCAGCCTTGAGAGGACCCCAGGCTAGTCAACAGTTTATCTTGGTTTTAAACCAGCCTTGAGAGGATCCCAGGCTAGTCAACAGATTATCTTGGTTCTAAACCAGCCTTGAGAGGACCCCAGGCTAGTCAACAGATTATCTTAGTTCTAAACCAGCCCAGAGAGGACCCAGGCTAGTCAACAGATTATCTTAGTTA